GCGCTTTTAACTTCTCCCCCAGCCTCCCGCTGGCCTGCAGCAGGTATACACACACGCACACACACACAAGTGAATGCTGCTCTCTCATTGGCTGCAGGCAATCACTGATGTTATTTTCAGTCAAAACTCATTTTACACAGCATGATTTGAATCGCAGACAGCTCCAGATATTTAGCATGCCAAATATCTCGCAGGCATCTGCGACTCATCAGTGATTCTCTCAGATCGCATCTTTGATAGTTCATACTGTGTGATTGTCACTCACGTGCACGAGCAGCGATTTGCCTGTGATTTCAGGCATTTGTCGGCGATTTCTCAAAACCTGTCGGCGAGCCAAAATCGGGGCTAAAATCACGCAGTCTGAACTAGGCATAAGGTGACTATTGTGTGTGTTTCTTCCTCTTTTGCTTTAGTCTACCATTGTTTGATAAACTTTTGTTGGTGTGCTTTGTTTGCCATGTAAATACTGAAACGTTTTTGTTTCAAACTCCTTTGATGAATGGAGTGTGAACATCATATCTGTATTATTCTAGATGGAGGAGAGGGAATAGGTCAACTCTGTCACGTGATATACATGGCGCACAAGCAGCATTCTTTTAGTTTTACACACAGTTTTGGATTTGTGCCACACTTGTAAGTTTTGCTTTGGAAGGAGGTAGTAGGTAGGATGTGATGGATGTTGATGGTTTACTTTTTGTAGTTCTAGGGGAATAGTTAAATGGGTTAGTTAGTTGATTTTTTTGTTTTAATCTTTTCTTTTGTTTGGCACAGTCCCTCCCCTATTTAAACATCACACTTTCAACATAGGACTTTCAAGTCTTGTTGTTCCTCTCCTATTATAAATGGCAACAATAGTTACTACTAGGGTTGCACGGTTTACCGGTACTATGATAGTATATCGTGATACTATGGCTCCAAAATTATGGTGGTGCTACTGTAGTTTGTGAATAGTAGTATTGTCATTAACGACATCTTAAACAGATAATGTTGCATGTGAAAAATGAATCCGTTAATTTCTGTTACTGTCAATATGATTTAGCAGCTACAACAACTCACATAGTGAAATTTTGAATTACTTTGGATTGTTACCTGATACGACAGAAAATACACAATAGATGAAAAATCCAAAATAGCAACAAGAAATATATTTTAAAAAATTACAACTTTATATTGCCTAATTTTGTTGGAAAAATGCTATTTTTTGTAACAATTTTTGTCTGGTATTCACCTTATTCTCCGCCGACAAGTGGGCGCTGCCATCTGAATCTTTTTGGCTTGAGACTTCCGGTCTTATTCACTTCCATTCATTTTTTGACGTTAAAAACTGCTCATTACACTGCTTGATGTTGTAATATGATATTTTCTTATTATATTATTCTACTTGGTCTGTATAGTCATGCAAACATTTGTTTGTTGAGCAAGTAGTTTGACCGTTTTCTGCTGTTTATTATTCCTAGTCATTTCTGCCATAGGCGACTGAATCAGAAGTTCTAAGACAATCGCGAAAACAGGCGCACTTCCGCATTTTAAAATAAGGTCAATAATATTTTAATAATGTGGTCCCACTTTATATTAAGTGGCCTTAACTAATATTTACTTACACAGCAATTAATAGTTTATTACAATGTACTTATTGCGCAAATACATGTATTTACTGTGTACTTATGCTTGATTAAATACAGATATGTATTTACATCTGTAATTAACTTTTGTAATTACATTTGTAAATACACTGTTGACCATCCTTTACACCTTAACCCACCCTAAACCTACCCACACCACCAAACCTGTCCATAACCCAACCTCTATCCCAACTCAAAAGCACAAGTGTTCTCAAATACATTATAAACACGGTAAGTACATTGTATTTATTTTTTGATGTAAGTACATAGTAGTTTAGGACACTTAATATAAAGTGGGACCCATAATGTTTTTTTTTCAGTCAGTGTCAGTTTTCTACAAAAGAAGCAAAAAGAACTAATACATTTTAGGTAAAGTGACATGCACTTAATCAATATAAAAAGGGAGTTATGAATAAAATTCAAGTAGACCTATAATAACATCTAAAATATAATATTTTTGGCAATTTTCTTTATAATTTGAGTAGTATCGCAATGGTATTTGGTATCGTGATACTTCGGCTGGTATAGTATCGTAAGATGAACTAAAGACGACACGACAACCCTAATTACAACTGGCCTAATATTTTCCTTTTCGTTTCCGCTCGACCAATAAAAAGTAACTGAAGGGTTGTAACAAACATATGTAAGCTTGTATAACAATATTTATTTTTGATCAGAAAGGGTTTAACTACAGATTTGGGGGCTGGATATGCGCTATAAAGATGTGTGCTGGATGCCTTTATTTAAAACCCTAATTAAATAAAGAAACCGGGATTCTCTCTTCAATATATTTCTTAGTTAGAGTTTTGTTTAAGACCATCTTTTGGTATGTTTTTCAAGGTATAATTAGAATCATACCTTACCACAGGAATCTTGATGGGTTCTGCGAATGAAGCCAATGACCATTCCAGGAAGAAAATGAATAAAAATACACTTTTATCAATAAATAAATCTAGTGAAAAAGAAGAATAAAATAAATACCAAAGCAAAACAAAATCATTTACTTTATTTTCTGCTGAGAATAAAGGGCCTAAGACTTACAGTATACAGAAATCTGTTTAAGTGTGCTGCTGGTCTGCCTGTCTCTGCCTTTTTTGCAGTATTCAAACCTTTGATTACAGGTATGCATTTAATGTTATAAGTTATTATAATTATAAACTGACTGTGAAGAGTGTGTTAGACCTACCTGTTTGTGATTTTGTTTTCTTGCGTGTCGCCTTCATGTTTCGTCACGGAGCACATGTTCTTTGTTTTGACAGTTCGCCATGTGCTCTTCCGTCAGCGTTTCCTTTTCCCCACCTCCTTGTTATTCACTTATTAAGCAATGATTGTCACCTGTAGCTCCTTGATCTTCTCCTCTATTTAATTCTCGCTTGCCTCCTTGTCTTTGTCAGACCGTCTTGTGTGTTTCGCGAGCTCACTCGCTCTAGACCCGCGTTTGTCCTGTCCTGTCTTGTGTATCTATCTGGCTCCATAGAGATTAGTTTCGGTTTTCGTTCGCCCTCTCTGCTCATCTCTCTTCTGCCCCGTCAGGCTATCTTCGGTGTCATTGCTTGTGGCGCTCGGACTCCATCGCCTGCCGACATCCGGCCACCTGCAGCTGCTCGTCTTCCAGCTGTTCCGCCCACGAAGCCTGGATACTCACAACCTCCACGAGTCCGCCACCTTGTGGACATTCAATTGAACTACAGTCCAGTACTAGTTACTGCTGCATGAATTACCCGTTTTATTCAGTGCTTTTTCTTTTATATTTTTGATCCTCTGTCTGAGGCATTTTTGATTTTTGAAGTTAAAATAAATCTTCACCTGCATATTGAATCTGTGGTTTCTTCCTGACACTGACTATAATTTTTTTACAGTCTATGTGGAAAATAGTGTATTTAGCTTAATAAAATGTGTAAGGTTGAACTAGTAGTGTTGTTTTTTTTTTTGGTACAGTAAAACATTCTGCTGTTATTATGCTGAGTTTTGTGCACACTAGATTTTAACTGTTCCTCTGTAATGTGTTTTCCTGAGTTTCTGTATGAGAGTTGAGTGTGTTTGAGTCACTGTGGGCCTCAGAGCACAGTAATACACAGCAGAGTCTGACACATGCAGATTCTTGATTGTCAGTGGAAATGATTTTTCTGTGGAGTCCAGTGTTGCAGAAAATCTCTCCTTAAAGTCAGCCTCAGTGCTGTATTGATTCAGAATGTATGTTGGTGATCTGTTTGGCAGCTTTTTGTACCAGAAGAGAGTCAGACTTGTATAAGTGGTGCTATAAATACAGCTGATAACAACTTTATCTCCTATACTTTCTGTCATTTCTCTTATAGGCTGTTCAACTCGGTCTTGTCCTCTGCACACTGGAGAAATAGATAAAAGGAAATGTATATCATTAACCTGCATTTATAGGAAATCAAAGAGATTTATTCATCTAAATGTAAATCAAACTTTTCTTGTTAAAGTAGACAAAATCAGAAATGTTCTTACCATCATAATGTACAATGAAACACAAGGAAATGAAGGCCCATCTACACATAGTTGATCTCTGAGGTAAAGAACAGCAGTCGACTCAACATGTGCTCTCTGTTGTGAAGGTTTCTCTCACTGAGCTCTACTTTAAGGCTTTAATGCTGTCAGTTGTCTTGATCTACTTGAGAGCAATGCTGACTCCTGCTGGATACTATTTAAAAATTACTTAACATGTGCTGTATATTTGGCAACCATAAAGCATTTATTACCAGATTAGAAACTTTTTGATCCACACTACTCAATTTTCTATTGTACAGCATATGCCAATTGGCATCAACACTTATTTTCTTTTATTTATTTATTTATTTTTTCCTCTTTTGTATTTCGAATGGTTCATCAAATAAATGCAAAAACTATTGATATTTTCTTTTGTATACAAAAGGTTTTTACAATAAACTATCATCATGAGTAAAACGGTTCAACTCGGATGTAGTTCTGTCAGTGTATGAAAAAACAAAACTCTAAAATCAGCTTCTAAATATGAGACTGACATTTTCTTTTATTTTATTTTTATCTGAAAATCAGTGAGAAAGAATGGAATTTCTTAACCTGATGGATCTTTTGAAATACAAGTAATACAAAACACATTTTAAAATGAAATACAGAAAATCAACAGTTCAAAAGTAATTACCACACTGAAACAGTTTCCATTGTTATTGTTGTAAAGCTAAACAGCACTGTTGTGATTGGCTACTTCTCTTTCTCCAAAAAGTAATTACTTGTAATTCTAAATAAATACACTCTAAAAAGAGGTCCCCAGCTTGTAATCATAAAGGAATAATAAAATAGAAAATAATAGAATTTAAGTGGTATTAAGAACCATAATGTTTCTCCGGTGGTTATTTGGGGCGATAAAGGTGCTATATGGCATTATACACTCTAGGAAAACAAGATTTACAGTAGTTCTCCTATTATTAAGTCAAAAAAACATATTTACTGATACATACTGTAGCACCATGTTTCTTTATACAGGCAGGTTCTTGTTCAGTGCTTGTGTGTTTTCAGTCACTGTGGTCATGGACGTCAGAGCACAGTAATACACAGCAGAGTCTGATACTGCAGCAGGGGACAAGAGCAGATCCACATGCTTTTCTTTCTCTATCCTGATCTTTGTAGTAAATCGGTGATCAGTATTCGACCTCTCTACCTTTTTAGACCTTTCTGCAATGTTTACAAGGAACTCGGGAGCTGATCCAGGATACTGACGGTACCAAAGTAAAGACCATGCAGATGAAAAAGTGCAGGATAAAGTAACATTTGAACCATCATCAGCAAACTCCTCTGTTTTGTCTGCTGTAATAGTATCTTCACTACTGGCACCTGCAAGAAAAACGTTAACGGAATAATGAATTTCAGTAGATTTTTTTGTACGCTTTTAAGTATTATATTCCTAAAATAATAAAAAATAGAATATTATTCATTATAATCATTAAGCCAATACATTTCAATTGTTGGTACTTACATGCTAAAGCTGTGAGCAGAATAACTGAATGGAGAAGCATTATGTATATGTGCTCAGTCTTTTTGAATGATCACGTCGGGTTGGAAAAACCTTTAAATGCGTTTCAAGCCCCTCCTTCCTCACCAGCTGGGAAAAAGTAAATATGTCTAAATTTAATAATCCAGCTATATACAGTTGAAGTCCATGATTAGCCCTCTTGTGATTTTTATTATTTTTATTATTTTATAATTTTTTTTTATATTTCCCAAATGTTGTTTAACAGATCAATACATTTTTTTACAGTATTTCCTTTACTATTTTTTTCTTCTGGAGAAAGTCTTATTTGTTTTATTTTGTTTTAGTTCAGGAGGGCTAATAATTCTGACTTCAACTATATATATTGATCTGATGAGTGTTAAATGCACAGAATGGGGGCTGGATTTTAGTTATATACAACAATGTGTATCAATGTTCAGGCTTGTGATCATCTTTATTGAGAATTGAATTACAATATGAGAATAGTCATGTATATTTTTTGCATTAATTGTGGCACTTTTTAAGCAAAAAAAAGTGGTATTGGTACATTAGTAATTTATAGTAAATACTATTGTGTTTTTAAACCATACTGCAGTAAAATGTATTGGTTTGTATTTGTTATTTACAACATCAGTATTTGTTGATAAAAGATACAGCACACTGTAGTATTAACTATAGTGAACTGGTAATAGATTCTGTAGTATACTTCATATTATACAGTAAATATTTTGTAGTATAGAGTTATTTGTACACTGTACACTAACACAGCAACTGTAGAATTACCACAGCAAATTAATTCAACCACAGCAGATTATATCAACCACTTTATCATAGTATTGTTCTAAAGTACAAGTAATTATAGTATAAATATATCATATATAATGATATTTACCATAAAGTACTGTATATTTTTACTGATGTCATCATGTCACTGATAACATAGATGTCAAGGAAGAGTAAAACTCTTCAGAGCTCTTATAGTTCTTGTCAGGATGTTTGTTGTGTTTGAGTCACTGTGGGCCTCAGAGCACAGTAATACACAGCAGAGTCTGATACTGCAGCAGAGGAGAGCAGCAGATCCACACGCTTCAGTGCTTTTACAGCGTTTGAAAACAGACGAAGATCAGACTCAGAGCTGTTTGAATATTCAGTGACAGAAAGTAAATACTCTGGTTTTGCTCCAGAATACTGGCGATACCACAGAAGATTAACACTGGTGCCACTAGTGAGACTGTAGTTACAGGAGAAAGTCACATTTTCACCCTCAGAACCATGCCTGTCTGGAAACAGCGGTTCGATTGTATCACCAAATAAATTTCCTGCAAAAAAAAAAACAAAAGTAATTAGGCATATATATATGTATGTATGTATGTGTGTGTATGTGTGTGTGTGTGTGTGTGTGTGTGTGTGTGTGTGTGTGTGTATATACTGATTATGTATACTGATTAAACCAATATCTTACCCATGTAAAGCTGTATTATAATGCAGGAGAAGAGAAACATGTTGTCTTCATAGAGTCAGTGATGCAGAAACAGTGTTTGACTGAACTCTTTCACTCTCAGCAGTGCGAATAAACTCCACCCACTGCTCCACTCATTATTCTTTACCAGTTTGAGGATTTATTGAGATTTGTATGAAATCTTTCCTCGAATTCTCTTTCACCTCTGCTTCATCTAGTTTTTGCAGAGCATGTAAAATGTGAAGAGAGAAGTGTACTGATCTCTGGTGCTGGAAGTCAAATGAATCCATGTCATGTTCGCAAGCTAAATGAAGTCTTGCTAACTAATTGACTGATTGCATGTTTCTGTCAGGAGATATAAAAATGGAAATAAATCAATAATTATTTCCAGTGTGTAATTGTTCATGTATAAAAATGAATTGTTCAGTTTATTACTTTACCTAAAATCATAACCAATAGAATTCAATTTCTCAATATAATGATGAACATGAGCCACTTTTGGCTTCTCTGTATATGACTGTGACTAGAGCTTTTAACGCATACTAGGGCTGCTTGTATGCATTAAGGATGCATTTCTGCCACAAGGTGGCCAATTTGTGCAATTACATAACCTCCAATTAAACAGAAAAACAGTATTGTTTGTGGATTTATTCTATTACACTTTTTTTATAACTACTATATATTTATTTATTTAACAATATTTACTGTGCATTCAAAAAGTTTCATTTAAGTTAAACGTGTATTTGTTGAATAAATGTAGATGAATCTGAAGCTGCATTCATGCAGAAAACGAATAATTTTTTGTGCTGCTTTTGAATGTTTCTGGTTTCTTTTGATGCCTTAAATAATAATGTTTACACAGGTGTGACCACATATTTTATTGCATTCAGATTGAGGTTTTGATTATGGTGTGCACTTGATGAGTTCAAAGAGAAAAGAGCTTCAGGTTATTGTACGACATGTTTCATGTTTTGTATCACTGGGCTCCTACTCTTAGAGCACAATAATAGAGAGCTGAATCTGACAGACGCACATCAGTAATAGTGAGTTCAGTGGATGAGTCTGATGTTGTGGATTGAAACCGATCATTAGAGGAGTGTTTAGCACTCAGAGATCGAGCACCTTTGTATGTTAAAAGCAAAAGTTCTGCATTTGGATTCTGTCTGTACCAATAAAGCCGAACTCTATTGTTGGTTGTACTGTATGAGCAGGCCAGCTTGACAGCTTCTCTTTCTTTTGTCATAACATCTTTCTCCTCTGGCTCAATATTGTCCCCAAACACCAAACCTGTGAACAGTAAGTAGAATAGAAATCAACCAAACTGCAAACATACACAATGCAAACCATTAAAATGACCAAAAAAATTGTTAAAACAGTTTTTAAAGTATTTTCAAACTTGTGGTTGTATTTGCACTTCTTTATTTTGTACTGTCTGCATGGAGCCAGCACCTAAGCTTTTCTCTCATCATAGTATGCATGATTTGATTTGATTGTAATGAAACATGTTCATGAATAATTACCTGTCGCCATAATAACAACAACAACGAGTAGAAAGCCTCTTTCCATGTTGAATAAGACCAGCTCTGTTCTTTACTGAGCCTTTCAGTGTTCTGCAACTGTGAAGGAAACTCTGAAGGTCATGAAGAATCTCTGAAACTTCCTGATCACAAATCAGCTCATTCTTCCATAGTTATATTGTTTTCATAGACCAAAATAACACTAACAAAAAAGTTGCAGTATTTTAATTTTATTTGCAAAACAATGACAGTACAGTTTAGAATTTGCTGCAGTTTAAATCAGAATTCTACTGTCTTAATCAGTTGTGTATTGTGTTTTCAAATCAAGTTAATGGCCCTGTACAAAACAAGGTTGGAAAAGAGAAACAATTAATTTAAAGCGATAGTTCACCCAAAGATGAAACTTCCATTGTTTTCTTTTATTTCTACTGATATTATATAGAATAACAACATATTTTAAGGCAAGTTGAAAACTGAAGAAGATTTTATTCTCTCTGTGTGAAGTATTTTCTAAGTGTAAAGCAGTTAATTTTCTCTTCTCAAAATGTATGGAGTGTTTGCAGCAAAAAAATATTGTGCATTAAAAATATTGTGTAAGATGAGTATGTCTGTACAGAAGCAAAACTAGGAGAAGGCTGTGCAGAATGACTGATTGTGTATAACTGAATATGTAAAGCCCTGATTATATATGTGAAATACTTGTATGAAGCTTAGAGTGAGTAACATATTATCAAGTTATTATCCTATCATGACAATGTATTTAAACACTTAGTTCCTTTGCATAAGTTGCATCTATACTTTGCTGACATAGACCTGTAACATCTCTGTTGAAATGAGCTAGTGGGCTGAGAGCCAAGAATAGCAGGACCCCTTAGACTAGAAACCTATTCAAAAATGGTCAAGAGTTAAAAAGAGACACCTAGGGGTGTGTCAAATAACCTGTATAAAGATTATGGAAAACACAGAAACTTTAGAAGGAGCAGAAGAGACTTTAGAAAGAGAGAACCAAAGAAAGGAAGTGTCCAGGAGAGACTTCAGAATGCTTTGGGGTCTGCTCTGCTCTTTCTCGGCTTTATTATGGAGAATAAAGTCTATTTTCTGATATTCAAAACCTCTGGTCTGATCATTTCTAATTGATAAGAAGTCAACCTGTAACCATTAACTTCCTTAGTATTTGTTTTTTTCCTTCTATGGATGTCAATGGTTACTGGTTTACAGCATTCTTCAAAATATTGTCTTTTGTTTTCAACGGAGAAGAGAAATTCTTGAGTTTGGAACCACTTGATGGTACGTTTGTGAGAATTTGTCTTTTATTTGTGGGAGACCTTTAATTTTATACCAAAGCAATGATAAATTAGTCATAAACTGTATACTTTTAAGATGAAATCTTACATCAGATTTGCTGTATGTTTTCTCTTTATAGAAAGAAAGAAAAATGTTTATGTATGCTTTGTTGACAGTATTTGCCAACAGCCCAACACTAACTCTGTGGTGAAAATGTGCTTGAAAACTGAATATAATTTAGCATTTCAATAACATAGTTTCTGTTGTCTGAGTGTATTATAGAAAGCACATGCAAATGAGGGTTAGTACTTCAGTTTGCTATGTCTGTAACATCACTGTCAGTTTAAAAGATTCACTGATTTGTATTCTTGCTCTCATCAGCTGGATTTTGGGTTTTTGTATAGAGCTGATGTGTTTCCTGTCACTGTGGGCCTCAGAGCGCAGTAATACACAGCGGAGTCTGATACTGCAGCACAGGAGAGCATCAAATCTGCATGGTTATGCTCACTTTTAGTGAGTTTAGCAGAGAGTCTTGGATCTACATCAGATGATTTGCTATTTCTTTCACCCTCAAAGATGGACACAAGAAATTCAGGAGCTCCTCTGGGATACTGACGATACCAGAATAGATAATCTGCAGATGAATAACTGCAGGATAATGTCACATTTGAACCCTCATCAGCAAAAACATCAGTTTGGATTGGTTTGATGAGGTTTCCAGAAACCGAAACTGAAAAAAATAATCAGAAATTGTATAAATGTTGT